TGCACAGCAGCATGTTCTGTTATGTTTTAGCACATTAGCATTTTCAGACAGGTAAATTGACAAACTTCATATTTATTTATTTCAGGTACTTATATAGCGTCATCAATTTACACAGCACTTTTACATATATATTGTACATTCACATCAGTCCCTAACCCTCAAGGGGTGTACAATCTAAGGTCCCTAACTCACATTCATACACATATTAGGGCCAATTTAGGCAGGATCCATGGCATGTCTTTGGAGTGTGGGAGGAAACCGGAGTACCCGGAGGAAACCCACGCAGGCACAGGGAGAACATGCAAACTCCAGGCAGGTGGTGCCGTGGCTGGGATTCGAACCAACAACCCTAGTACTGCCCGGCGGAAGTGCTAACCATTTAGCCTCTCTGCTGCCCTTTTCTCAGTTCTTTAAAGTATAACTAAAGGCAAAACTTTTTTTTTTTTTTTTAGTTTTGGACAGAGTGGAGAGGGATTGGGACCCAAGCAAACTGTTGGCGCTATATAAATACTGTATAACAAATATATATTTTAACTTATGATTTTAATGCGAACACATAGGGGACTATTAGTCCCCTATGTGATAGCATATACGTGACAGGTCCTCTTTGTAGGGGGGAGGGGGTGGGGGGCAGTGTGTGCCAGGAGGAGCAGTGTATACAGAGAGGCTCCCTCACTGGCTGTCACTATATGTCGGTGCCAATTTTTAAATGCAATTGCCGGCTTTTTTTCTTTTTTTTTTTCCTTCACTATAGCTCACAGAATTAGCTGTCACTTTCCCTGGAGCTAAAGGAAACTTTGTTTCTCTTATCTTGGGAAAGAAACTAAAAGGAAAAATTGTTTTTTTAACTCTGGGAAATAAATTAAAAGGAAACTTTGTTTCTTTTAGCTTGGGGGGAAAGTGACAGTTAATTCTGTGAGCTATAGTGAAGAAAACAAAAAAGCCGGTAATTACATTTAAAAACCAGCACTAACATATAGTGAGAGTCAGGTCACTGTATACACTGCTCCTCTCCTGCCTTTCTCTGCCGCCCCCCCCTCCACATCTGCAGTACGCACAGTCCCCTGTATCGGCTATTTTCGGCTGAAATATTTCAGTGGCCAAGATTTCGGTGCATCCCTAATATATAGTGTTTTTGTGAGTTACCTCTTTCTGCTCTGTGGCTTGCTTCTTTTTTTATTTTTTCTCCTAACAGTGTAAAGAATTTAAATTATATGTAAATCCTAATAAACTATATTATTATTATTATACAGGATTTATGTAGCGCCAACAGTTTGCTCAGTGCTTTACAATATAACAGGAGACAATACAGCAACAATACAGTTCTCTTATTTGCTCCGTTTTGGTCTGTAAATTATATAATTAAGAAAATTTTGTTGGTTAGACAAGTGCAAGAACACCCCATGATCCTGCCAGAAAAAATTTTGCTTGTGCACCACCTGTAAATCCTCCAGTTAAAGGATAAGTTCACCTTTTGGACAAAAATAATAAATGCACTTTTTTTGCAGGTAAAAAAATGTGCATTAATTATTTTTGTCCAAAGGAGCCTGGAAAGCATTGCACCGCTGATCAGTAGATTGCTGATGCCATGCAGATCTCCTGCAGACCTGTCGGGATGTACAGTCAAGCTGATATACTGACAGGAAGCTTCAGTGAACTACCATGGCACGCCACAGCTCCGTGGTAGTTCATTGAAAACTACAAGCCGACAGCCGCTAAGGCTGACGGGACTTGTAGGCACTCATTCACAGAACACTGTGTGGGTGGAGCCCCATAGGCTGCGCTGTTTTCAAATCTGACAACTAGTACGTGGAGAAGTTTCCCCATTCTATCTCAGAGGCAAGGGTGCAGCTATGGGAACATGTTACATGTTCCACCCTAAAAACTGGTGGAACGTATCATGTTACCAAAGGTGAACTTATCCTTTAACTCTGGCCCCCTGAGCACGCTACATCAATTATCTGTTTTGCTGCAGCACATGAAGCTTGACTAATACCCCAGTTTTGGCACAGTGCTTTGCACATATGCCACTGCTTCCCTTTCCCCCCACCTCTATTCTCAGGCTGCTGACTTCCAAAAGTTTCCAGATATGATAATTAGTACATAAACAAGAAGATAAAAATAGCAGATTAGTTATCAGTTCTCAAAGAGTCCAAAGCACCCAATTAACCAATCAGTTCTGCTCAAATTTTATTACACTCACTATTTGATTTTTCTGCTCTAAAACTAGGCAGTTCACTTGTGAGCATTGTTAACAATCTTTAAATATTGAATATTTTAGCTTTCAATAGGAAGTTATGTTTTTTGCCATTTTTCACATTGTTACAAGTTATATGTCATTTTCTTGGCTTCCTATGCTGTTTTCCATTCCTCCCTTTACTGGTAATATTTTATTGTCCTCTACATTCCATGAATCTCTTCCTGGAAAAAAAGTCTTCCAAACGTAAATGGAAAATGCTTTAAAAGGCTTACAAATCTAAACATGTGCACTTGTTAAAAGAAACAAAAAATGAAGGTTAATTAAAAAAAACATTTGAATAGACCTCTATCTGCTTTGTGATGTTTGTGTTTTATTTTGGTGCCAAGTAATGTGTTGATGACAGATCATAGGATGGCATAGATCTACACATGTGATTACCTCCCATAACTAGTTGTATGTGAAAAGCTCCACTTGCATATTAACCACTTCCAGTCCGGACACTTTTACCCCCTTCCTGTCCAGGCCAATTTTCAGCTTTCAGTGCTATCACACTTTGAATGACAATTGCACGGTCATGCAACACTGTACCCATATGATTTTTTTAGCATTTTTTTGAGACAGATAAAGCTTTATTTTGGTGGTATTTATTCACCACTGGTATTTTTTTGCTATGTAAATTAAAAAGTCCAAAAATTTGGAAAAAAAGTGTTTTTCTTATAAAATTTTGCAAATTAATAGTATTTCATCATAAATCTTGGCCAAAATTTATTCTGTTATATTTTTAGTAAAAAAAAAAAAAAAATGACCCAAATTAGTTTATAACCAAAATTTAAATTTTTAAACATTTTTTTTACATTATTTTTTTATATTTTTTTTTTTACATACTGTCACCCTAGCAGTACAGTGTCACCATGGTGACACTGTACTACTTGTGATGGGTGATGAAGATTTTTTTTATTTTATTTTTTTTTTTTTACACTGATTGCTTTTACACCCATAAAGGCTGTAAAAGCAATCATTCTCCTTCTCTCTAGCTGCATTCTTGCAGCCATTGAGAACTGAGTGAGCTGTGATTGGTCACAGCTTGTCACATGGTACAAGGCTGTTGTGAATAGCCTTGTACCATGTGACCTCTGTGATCATTCACAGATTTCACACGTAGTAAGCAATGATGTCACAAGTGACATCTTGCTTTACTACTCTGCATGTGATCACTGATCGGCCAATCAGTGATCACATGATCGGGACTTCTTACAAAGGTTCCGTCTGACGATTGGTGTTCCACTGTGTCCGGAGGACACAGCGGGCACCGGATCGCGGTGCTGCGCACTCCCAGGGAGTGCGCACAAGCAGTAGCGGGGAGGCCGTTTATAAACGGCCATCTGACCCTGCACTGCCACCGTCCGGCCGTTTATATATACAACAGCCGGACGGGAAGTGGTTAATATGCTGTAATCATAATAAATATGTACAAGCCATTATACATTTCCCCTCAAGCTTTTTTTTTTTTTTCTTCAGAACAGTCTCATTTTTGTAATTACAATAAAGCCCTCCTTCATGACACTGCAGTGTTTACTTACAGCTCAATTGGACTATCATTTTTTTCAAGAAGCATTTCATGTGCTTGAAAACAAAGGGTGTTAGAAAACAACTACAGTAAAATAAGCCAGTGTCCTGCCGGCTGCAGACAAGGATCCATGGAGTCTGTGGCTAGAAAAGTTGGTAGATTGGTGGCTCCAGGTGTGTTGTCACAGCCAGTGAGAAGAGGTGGTTAGTAAACCATAAGCAAAATAATAAAATGTAGATAATTGTGGAGTTTAAAGCTCAACTAGGGAATTTTCCCTTGTAGTGCGGCTGTTCCCACACTTCAAGGATTAATTGCTTGTTTAGGGCTAGGGTACATAGGAAAGAAGATCTACTTAAAGCCGAGCTCCACCCAAAAGGGGAAGTTCCACTTTATGGACTGCTCCCCGCTCACCATTAAGGATTGGCACCTTTGGGGGGAGGGGGGCAGGTACCTGAATTTGACAGATACCCGCTCCTGCTTCCAGTCCGATCGCCTAGGTGATCGGGAATGGAAGGTGTCCTCCCTCCCTCCCTGTAGTCTTTTGGGACACGTGGCAGGTCCCAGAAGACTACAGGACCATTCATGAAGCGCAGCACTACTCGCGCATGCGCAGTGGGTACCCGGCTGTGCAGCCACAAGCAGTAACTGCCGGGTGCCCACACTGAAGATGTCGGCCTCCTGGAATACAGGACGGCTGGTGAAATGGACTGCGAGGGACAGGTAAGTGGCTGTTTTTTTAAAAGTCAGCAGCTACAGTTTTGGTAGCTGCTGACTTTTATTTTTTGACAAGGTGAGTGGAACTCTGGTTTAACCAGTCATCCATGTTGCTAGGCCGGTCCCTGCAGCATCTTTTCCCCAGCAGTCTACAGTCCTGACATAATCGATATCAATGCAGGGTCCAGAGCCCTGCATTGGATTTGTTGATGCTGAGAGACAGTCCACTGTCAGAGTGTTGGAGAGCACTGTCTGCGGGGCAGCTGAGTAATAGGTAAGTTAAAGTGCTTCACTTCTCTCCTACAATAAACATCTCACTATTCGGAATTATTTTCACATTTCCGGTAGTTGGGTTTCAACACGCTGTTGATTGACAGTTCCTGATTTGAGTCCATTGAACACTAGCAGAACCTTTTGGGGTTTTTTTTCCTTAAACCAAATCTAATTACTTCTTTTCTTTCCTTCCTTCATCTTTTGTTGCTCCCTGCCCCTGACTTGTTTCTTTTTTTTTCTTAACAGAATCACCTAAATGGACCTCTTGGAGGCAAAACCGACACAGACTCTGAAGGAACGTCAATAGCCATGATAGTGGTGCCTATAATATTAGCTGCTGTGGCTGTCTTCGCCTTTGTAAAATATCGGCAACGTATGCCAAGCTATTAGACTGCCATAACATGCAAACATGAAGAACACAAGAAAATAATACCGCTGTAATGACACTAGTCCTTGTATGCTATCGCATAAGATCCCTACATCCTATGTACTGCTTGTAAATATATTCAATAGCTTGGAATGGTACTGGCCACAAGAATGTTTCAGTACAACCTTTCTGACAATATGCGACATCTAGCCTTAGAAATTGTGTAAAATTTTTATTGCTGCAAAATGCTTAATCTGATCTTGCCAACTTAATTCACCTGAAGTTAGGTATACTTATCAATGTTTTCCTTGTTGCATTCCTGAATATTTTAAATAATTTCACAATGACTTGAAGGAGCCTATTGGGTTTTGTGGTACTGTACAATCATATGTATGTTGTCGGAAGTAGAGGAATGTATAAATATTTAATTAGATGTTCCACATATAGTTGAAAGTAATTTTCTTTGGAGTGAGTTCCAATGAAATAAGCTATATACTATAGGCCACAACCAGTCAGTTGATGGGAACCTATTGTAATGGCTGGTTGGCTTTCTATAGCTGATAACAAAGCAACACTGAGGCAAGTGGTTTTCAGCAGGCCTTTTCAATTAGTGGATTGTTGGAGGATATAAGAAAGAGAGAGGCTTTTTTTTCTCACTTTGGGAAAGATCTTTATTAGAGTGAATGAAAGTGATATTAGAAATAGAGTTGAGCTAGAAGGAACAGTACAGGCTATATTACTGGTGTGCAGTATATATTCAACAGGAGAAATATGCTGCACTGCTGGAATTTTAGGGCAAAGCGTTGTCTGCTTGTAGCCCTCCTTCCAACCACTTCATACTCCTGTTCTTACTCTGTGGCTTCACCAAAATGTACCCAGTACTTCTGAGTATGGGGGGAAACGTACGACCTCCTCCCATGATGCAGTTCTCGGACCTAGTGACCAATTGCTAGGCTGGAGCACAGTCACATGATGACTGATGAATTATGTGGGTAATGTCCTCACTCACTCTGAGTTCCTATACCAGTTGACACTGGATATTTGGTTACTTCTGAGGCATCCAATGGATATACTCCTTTCTGCACTCCCACCAGTTTACTGGAAGCCTAGTGTTCATCTTTTTACCTGCTGATTAGTCCTATTACGGTCAGTTCCGTTAAATAAAAATGATTTTAATATGCATTACATTTGAATGGAATAACCTTATATTCAGCAGTATCAACAACAGTGGAACAAGGCTAAGCTCTCTACAGATGGAGAGGGACAGTGGGTGAACACAGAGTACTTTTTTTTTAACAAAGGTCTTCTTGTATCTACAATAGAGGCCTGGATTATATTGAGATTCAGCCCACACTAAACATTTTTATGATGTCCTAATATCCTAAAAGTCTCTTCCAGAATTTAATAAAAACGGCGCTAAGTTGGAGGAAAATGAGGTACTATAACTGGTGGAATTGTTCATATCAGAACACTATCTGTGATTTTAAACATGTTTTGTTCCTCAAGCCTACCTATGCAACATGTGCCTCTTTATGTCAACGTGGTGGATGTGCCTTACAATTTTGCCAAATTTCCTTTCTAGTTTTGACTCCAGTGTCTCCATTGTTGTTACTGGAGCATGCCTCCAGTAAAAACATTTTTTAAGAAGAGTTAGTAGAGATTCAATCATTTGTTTGTCAGGTCTTTAGCACTGTCTGGGTCAGGGAAGATGACAACTTTAACAGAAGTTGTTACCCTTCCCCATCCTACTATAAAAAGCCATTTAATCGCTGTCTACATTTTCCCTTACTTCCTTTTAGTTTGACCACTGTCATTGGGATAGGAAATGTGAGCGATACTTTTCTGTTGGGGAAGAATACATTCGTAAAACCTGACAGAGGTACTAACCCACTGTAGCCAAAAGAAGAGTTGAGGCTAGAGTTTTTAGGTATACATTTCATGCTAAAACCCAAAGAGTGTTTTGGAATAACTACAATTTAGTAGTGAGTCATAGTGACAGGAATTTTCACACATGTGTATACAATGAACAAGTGTGTTTTAACACCTCTTCATAGTTGTGCTATTGTTTAGTTAATGAATGCAATAATTATCCTGCTGGAGATTTTGAGTCAAGCTTGACTAATCAGCTTCCCATTAGTCATAATGGAGCTCGGAGTTACAGCATAATGTGCTAGCGAGGCTGCTGCTTGTAGTTCTGCTATTGTTGGCAAGCTATGGATAGTTGACAAGCTTTGAAGGAGAGTCTATTAATTTGTAATCTGCACTTGTCTCAAATTATTATTATTTTTTTTTTTTCGCAGTTGAAATGCAAATCTTCCTTATTTTTATCCTATTTTGTTGTAATAATAATGTGCTAGTGTGAACTACACCATTATCTGTATATATTGCTTTGCATCGAAACATTTAAAAGCACATCATTGTGAGTAAAACTTACCTGCCAGAGAAGGAAAGTTGTATAGATAACGGTGCCAAAAATGTATACACAGATCTTGGTAACTTTACTACGCACCATGACCTTGTCACATAAATCTGTAATATTAAAGGTTCGTTCAATGTGCTGTGCCTTTTGAAGAGCAATCTGCGGTGCCAGATTACCAAATAGACAGAATAGGCACCAGCCTATGGGCCCCATGCCATTTAAGAGCCCCGTGACAACAAAATAATATTGCTTTGCGCTTGTAAGAAAATTACAATGAAACTTTATTACATTTGTATTGTTTGGTCATTTTTTTTTTATTTCACACACATTTAGATTTCAGAATGGGTTGTTTTACCTGATTTTTCCCCAAGGTGTGGTGTTAAGGGGTGTATAGCTTTCTTAAATTGTTTACAAAAAAAATTGAAAAAATGAATCCACTAAGAAAAACTTGACATTGAAGACTATAGAGAAAATACTGTATTAATGTAATGTAGTCAATAACAATACATTGACCTTAGACCTTAGGCTCACATTACAGTTTCTCTTAAAAGCTCATCTTCCTTTAGCTGTCAGTTTGCAAACAAATTTTGGTGCAACCTACATATTTGCAATGTACAGTAGTGATGGTCATCTCCATCTAGCGGCAGACTGCCTAGGGTCCTGCAAGAGTTTAATCTGGCGTTGGCAATCTGCGCTAATTTCCCATGCATTTGACAGGCGGTGAAGAGCCATTATGTCTTCTCACCACCACCTGATGTACCCTGTAAATGCTGCTCTACCAAGCCCAATACCTTGCATAGGTCCTGTTCAGGGGCAGTAATGTCTGCCAAATGCATCATGCTGCTTTATTGCGCTGTACCCGCGAAGCACAGCATCTTGCCCTGCTGCACTTGTACATGCCCAGGTTCAGGCAGGCAGTGTGGGGGATTGTAAAACCTCAGCTGAACGGCCTGGCTTTACTGCCCCCTACCTGCCCCTGTGAACGAAGCCTAAAGGTATGCCAGATAGCATTTAAGACCAAATTAATATTGGCTGAGAGGCCACTTTAGCATGTCTTTATATTAATTTGAGGTGCCTTCAGTGTTAATACAGTTTAAAGAATCAGTGGTCTGTATATACAGTGTGTGTTAAATGTATTTAAAGTAAATCATGAAAGAAACATGGAGACAGCCATTGCAAATGCAGGTTGCCTGGTTGTCATGCTGGTCCCCTGATTCAGTACTCGGAGTCATGGACCCAGAATTATGAAGATAGACTTATAACTCCATTGTGCCTTTCTTGGTAAGCATAATTACTTGAAGGGTTCAGCATAACAGCGAAGCAGCTAGCTTTTCAGGAGCTCAGCAAAGGCAATCTGTGTATCTCTATTCTCTTAGGAAACGTTAGCTTTAAAGTAGTAATCTACCTAAGGTAAACATTCATTTCTAAAGAGAGGAAAATATAATCTGAAATCCAAAGATAACTTTCTTAGGGTTAAGAACTATAGGGGTACCTTAATGACTATCAGCTTTCATTTTTTTTCTTCTGCCACTGTGCTTAAGCCCGCCATAGACTGATTGATATTCTTTCCTGCAACCACATATTACAGGAAAGAAGATTGCTAGATTCCCCCCCATCAACACAGTGATGACTATGTTGACCTCCCACGGAGCCATTGTGTTCTCCCAGATATAACTGCTAGCAATAATCGCATGTGAAATATGACAGGCTGGTTGTACCCAAGTTGATTCATCGATCAACTTGGATACATTCAGCCTCCCCATACATGGTTTGAATTATGGCCGGTCCCTGCTGAACCGGCAAAGATTTGAACTGTCTATGGCCGGCTTTAGAAGTAATTACTGAACTCTTCTGTCAACTCTGTTAATTGGAGAATTGGTGGGCAGGTGGGTGAAAAGGCACCCGGAGTATGTTCTGTTTTTTGGTGTGGGGGGGAAGAATGTCCATTGAAACCAAATGTTCAGTTTACATAGTTTTCCCGTTTAAATTGAACTGGTCACTCACATGTTAGAGACAGACAACCCTTTTGTGACTGAACAAGGATAATTCATTCATGCTATGCCAGATATGTCACATTCCCAGTAAACTAATAGCATATGTGTGCTTCCACTATGTGTGTTGGGTAAAGATAAACATTCTTTCCACTTTCAAAAAGGGTCCCTCTATGTAGAATCATGAAGCACCATCTCCCTTCTGCTTTTCTATTTTTGGGTGGACCGGGAACTGCAATTTTGGACGTCCCCCCCACAACACCACCACAGTTGAAAAGTGGTATGGTGCTTTGCCTGTTCAGATATAATAAAGGTGTATGTCAGGGTAACCATCCATGTGAATACTCAAAAGTTTTTTTCCCTGCCAGTGTAGGGTAAAGTGACAGTACCTTTTTGTAAAGGTACTGTAACCTGTCCTGGTTACACTCACCTCACCAGCAGTGCCTTGCTCCTGCCTCTGCAGCTGGCGCCAAAACCTGATGAATTCAGGTATGGAGACCATGTGATATCCTCAGGGCTTGGGTCCAGTAGCCAAATGTTAGGTTCGAGCACTGATGTCACCACCCCACTTAGTGCGCGCCACCTTGGATTCTAGTGTGGCTGCATCAGAGAC